TTTAAAATTCTCACAGTAGTACATTGCGGCTTTTAACCAGGTCCCCCAGTGCGTAATGATAGGAGAAAGAGGCAATGGCGTTTCTGGGGCTTCTCATCGGTACAATTCAACGCGAGCAGGCGCCTTAAAGAACACTTTTTTCATATTCGAAATAAGTTCGTCAATTTTCTAGCATACACGATGCAAACCATGGGCCATGGGCCTCCGCGGTAGTGAGGTTATTTTATTTATTAATATTTAATAGGTCCTTTAGAAGTAATTTATTTTGTCAATTACATAATAGTTGACTCAAGTATGCAGTTAATAACAAAAAAATCGTAATGTATGCAGATACATAAAAAAAAACCCAAAATATGCAATTACATGAAAATAAAATTTTTTATTTGGATTTGTATAAGTATAATTCAAATTTGTAGTTGATCTAGCAATTTTTTAGTCCATTCAGTAAAAACATTCAAATGCATGAACTTCCGGGCCCTAAATTATTATTTATGATGTTCGAGATTCATTATCTGCGCCATCGTTCCAAGTCCTCAGCTCAGAATTTTATTACGAGAACAAAATCATGACGTACGTGCATTGTGCAATATATAATATTATAATAGTGTAATATCGACATCGCCGACTCGAATAATAATATTATTATCTGGTGATAAAATCGCGGTTTTCGAATGTTATGACTGCCGCCGAGCGGAACGAGCAGGAATCGACTGCAATATTATTATCGAGGATGTAACACTGGTGCGAGGTTTTTTCTCACTTATTATACTATTGCACACGATAAAACAATATTACCTACATAATTTTATATTATTACTTCGTTATATTATTGTAATACGATTATACTTTAAACAGTCGGCCACGGAGTGTGTGTACTTCGACTGCAATCGAGTTCCTCTAGAGTTTCACTGCACCACGATCACCTATCCGTATCGATTGGAAAGTATAAATTATTAAAAATAAAATTATATTATTGTGCGTACCTACAGCGTGGACATGGATGATGGCACTGCAGTGCGCACTCAGAAAGGTCAACGATGGTTTCGAATACTAATAAAAGTAGTTTTGGAGAGAACTAACTTAACTTAATATAACAATACTATATATAGGCACGTAATATTTGGAACCAGATGTCAATGATGACTTTTACATTTATTTTGTATTTGTTTTTAGAACGTCTTAGACGACGTTGATGTCTTAGCTAAAAACGTAGATCATCAACCGACGAATCTAAAGGTAAATTAATTTTAGATTCTGAGGGTGGAGAGGGATCTACTGATTTTAAAATTACGTGTTTTTTTCTGTCGTCTAGTTTTCGGGGCTGTAAAAATGCTTTGGTTTTCTACTTCAACGTCTTTTTTGATAGGAAAGTGAATTTAAATGGTACTTTGGGGGGAAGGGGTCAAAAGCAATGCTAGTCCCTTGTCAATTTCAAAGAGTAAGAAAAAAATAATGATAACCTGGGGTTTCTAAGCAAAACCAGTTTTATTATTATTTGTTTTTTTTTTATGTAACCCTACATATTAATTGTAGAATACATTACATTTTCATCAATGTCATGTAACAATAAATTGTATATACACAATTAAAAAAAATATTTTGATTTTTTTTAAGTTTCTTTGATGTGTTTCACTTGTTAAAAAAGTTTGAAAATCTAATATATGGTTATTACTTATATATTTTTATAATAGCAGTTCAAAAATATTAAAGATACATAGATAAGATTTTTTATAAGCATTTAAAGCCCAAAATATGTTCAACGAATCCATCGAAATCACGAACATTTGCAAACTATTTGTAACAAAAATTTATAAATTGTTCAATTTCTATAGCTGGAGATTGAACATTTAAAACAAATTTTCTCTTAAAAAATATAAACACATTTTTTTTTATAGATATTTTAATTTGAAATTTGGATAAATTGATTAGATATTTTAAAAAAGAATTAATTTGATGTAATTTAAAACTTTTATTCGAAAATACAGGGCACTTGATACTTTTAAAGTAGGTGCTTATATTATTATATGAAGAATGATTTTGCAAATGCAATGTTTTTGGCCAAAATTAATATTTTAACCTATCTTATTACTAATGTGTAAAATAAATTACTTTGATATCAATAATATCATAAAATATAAGTACTTAGTAATATATGATGTCGGCATATTGGCTGTCAGAATATCTTCGCTCAGAATCGTTATTCATATACAATTAATGATCATATGGTTTTATAAATATTATTAACATTAAAATCAATTTAAACACATCCATTGCAGTAACCCATAACACGACACCTAATAATGTACATCAGTGCGGTGCTCGCTTGACACTTATCGGTTAGCTCAATATTTGTATCTCTCTACTGGTTGGATTAAAAAACTCATTGAATATCTAGTCATAACGCTATTGTCTTTTCAGCAACCAGTGATAAATAAACATAGAATAATACATACATTGAAATGATAAGAAATTGGCTTGAAAATATATTGGGAAAATGTCAGGAATAAGGATATCCTGCAGCAGTGAACAAGATTTATAATGATATAGGTATACAGGTTAGAGGACTATTTTTCATATTAAATGGTTTGAATTCGATTTTTTTGTTAAAGTTCTCAAAAACGCATAAACCAACATAACAAAAAGAACAGAATATTTTTTTTCCGAAATTGTTGTGTAGTAAATAATAATATCATTAAAAGACTTGAAATAATTAAAAAAATAAATAAATTCCCAAAAACTTTAATACTGTTAGATGAAATTACTGTTCGAAATGTGTGTGTTTGCCTTTAGAAGTATCGCTGTGTATAATAAAGCAATATATTATTGTAGACCAAATACATGTTATTACAGGTGCATACCGGGTTATAGCCTTATAGGTTATACCTATATACTACTACCACCGTCACTACCACTACCACTACTATACCACCCCACTACCGCAATGACTAACTACTACATACGTTATATTATATGCGTATCCTGGTATATATGTATAGGGACGTGATCCCTCGAGGCAAGTCGTAAATATCGCACACACAAGCGCGTCGAGTCGGCCGAGATGAGTTTAGCTTTTAAAGTGGGTACAACATACCTACGCGCGTGTTTTAATTTATTGATATTTTCGTATATTATGTTTAATTAACTCATGAAAGAGGAGGTGTCTCGGCGATCCCTATGCAGCGACGGACGTGTGGTATTATTATTATTATTATTATTATTATCAATAATCAAATTGCGGCTTGTTTAATAATAATGTACTATATTTTTGTAACATAATATATATTATATTTAACATAACACAACACGGTGCAAATCTTTTATGACGACGTTCGAGGGTCCAATGCAAATATAGGTCACACAATAACCGACAGTCATAATTTATCAGTCGCAGCTAATCAACTATCAGTTCAGATTTCGATTTTCATTCATTGAAATCATCTGGGAAATATTCTGCTTTGGGTTGTAAAATAAAAATAACGTACAAGAATGCAATGAAAACCTTTGGAAAATCAACTTGAAAAATAATAACGATAAAAAATAGTTAAAAAGGTGGATTTATAGCGTTATCTCTGAATATCGCTGCTTTTCTAGTTTCAGTGATTTCAGTGTGGTTTATTTTGTACAACTTTTAAATTCATCATTTGTCGCATATATATATATATATATATATATAAGTGGGTGTTTCGCTAAGACAGTGAGCTCGGAGCAAAACCATGGTCTGGAGCCTGCACTGGTTCGGTGTCGTGCCGTGTCATGATTTATTAATCTTCTTCAACTGCACACTAACACACGCACACTTATATGCTGTCACACACACGCACACACACGACGTATAAAAGTCTGACCGCAGTAACGTTTCGTTTATCGCGGTGACCCGTAACACCGCACGCGGTATATAGGTATACTGCTCGGCGGCATTTATTGATGAGATTGGTAATATCGTTTGCCGACCGATACAAATTGAATTGTATCTCTCCGATACACGCACCGATACGGTGCGGTTCGATTCTATTAGTCGCCCTCCCCCCCCCCCTTCTCCTCTGGGGAGAGATATGGCGCGCAAAATCTCCGATACGAATTATGGTCAACGGCAGTAATTTGATTTTTCTCCGATCTTTCCCTCCCCGGCACTACTGTCGCCGATCCATCGTCTCGCCGCCACGGATGACGCACGATCGAATGACAATAAAAATCGAAAAGTAATATTAACGTCCGAGACGAATAGAAGGTATCTATATCTATAATGCCGTGGGTGTGCTGCAGTTGGTATCCTAACCCATAGATAATACGGTATTAACCAAAGGCGGTCAAGACAACAATAATTGTTTACTGTTGAGTTAGTTGGTTAAGCTAAGTTAGCTATATACGTTAGCAGTCAGAAAATGGTATTATATTCAATTATATATAAATGTTATGTGCAGACAAATGTTGACTCGATACCTCAGTTGAAAAAAGTTAACATTTTAAAAATTGTGATTATCTTTAATTAAAACAATTACTTAGTCGACTTAATTATTAAATCGAGAAATATGTTTTACTTGAAATCATTGCCTACAATATGTGATCAAATCGAATCAATTAATGATCTTTTAATTTTAACCTGCACAGATGTGGATTTGTTTAACACGATTTCAACAGAAGTTAACGTGTACACCTATTATTTTAATATAATATTGGATGTCCTTTAAAGTCGAAAGTCAGCATTTCTATTGTTTGTTTAAACTTTGAAAAATATTATTATTTCTTTTAATTTTTCCATTCACACCTTCGACATGTGTTCGCTGTACAAAAACCCTGTCTCTAGAAACAATAGAAACAGTGGAAAACATTTTGTCACTTGGGAAATCGGTAGGTTCGTTTGTGGGTCTGCAGGGAAGGACGCCGTTGGAAAAACGACTGACACACGCCGTTTATGGGTAGGTACGAAAAGTGATAATAATGTGTAACGGTCTAATATTTTTGCCATCATAATATAAAGTGTGCTAGTGCACAATGCATCGTTTAATCATTAATACAATTGCGTCGCTTTATTTGTAAACACATTACATAAAATATATTATACGAACTATTATACAGATAATATTATTGTAGTTATGTGTTATATAATATGACGTACTTACATAATAATAGGTATAGACAGACACAAGCGCATAATATTTTAATATTCTGGCGGTGGAAACGCGAAACGCTGGTGCGAGTAAAACATAATAATAATTATAATGATGATAATAACATAATAATAATAATAATAATAATAATAATAATAATATTCAATAATAATGTATAATATAGGTAGGTAATATTGTTGAACGTTTTACGACGTACGACAGTAATAATAATAATAATAATAATATTATCTCAAGCACGAAATCACGGTATACCAGGTACCATACTGTATAGGTCACCGTTTAAATAAAGATCAACGGCGGCGGCGGACATTCGAAATGTAATAATTATAATAATAATAATAATAATAATAATAATAATAATAATAATAATAAAACAAATAATACGCAACGACATATCGAGTGTCACACATTCGAGAAATCATCCAGAGGTGATGTATATAGTAATATATAATATAATATGTATATAATAGTAATGATAATGATAACGTTAAAAATGAAATTAAAAATTAAAAAGAAAAAAAGAAATTTGAAGCGTTTTCCGCCATCAGCACCGGAATCGCATAATCTCGCCATACCCAAGTACGACGGTGAAACGCCATTTGTCATGCCAACCATCGGTGATCGATTGACTGTTAAGTGCTCCACAGTCCACACGACCCGTCTCCAGCGATTTTCGACTATGAGAAACCGGAAATCCGGTGATCGAGAGTCGTCACGAAAACCGAAATACACGGAAAACGCTGTACACACAATATTGAATTGTTTTATATTACACACTGCAGACCCGATTCTAAGGTCCATTCTATTTTACAGGATAAAAGGAAACGAATTCACGGGAGAAAAAAAAGTCCAAAAAAACAAAAACATTGAATGAATAATATAGGTCGAAAAATAATTTTATAAAATAACAATTAAAATAGTTGTTTTAAATCAATTTTTTCTCGGACTTTTTTCCCAGATTTTTTTACAGTTTATAATTTCACGGATACCATCATAAAGGTACATAAAAATATAATACACGAATCGCTTCCGGTCAACCCACACACATATCATATAAACAGATGCTTCCGGTTGTTAGTGCGGCGTCGTCCGATGGCCACCACCGTGAGCCGAACGGTCCGACGAACAGGCTGTGTCCGGCGAGGACGGTGACGGCGATCTGGCCGCGGCCGCTACCGCTGACAGCTGAGGCGGAGTGACCAAGTACGGCGAAAATCTGAATCCGTTCGCTGCGGCGGCGGCCGCCTGGTGTTGTTGGTACAAACTCTGGTGGTGGTGTTGTTGTTGTTGTTGTTGTTGTTGTTGGTGATGGTGGTGCTGTTGTTGCTGCTGCTGATGGTGGTGGTGCTGTTGCTGCTGCTGGTGAGCGGCGGCGGCTGCGGCTGCAGCGGCGGCAGCCATGGCCGTGGGACCTCCACCGCCGGCCGCGGCCAGTTGCTGGTAGAGGCCTGCCGGGCCCTGCATCGACGCCCACTGGTTCCACAGGTGTTGGCCGCCGGCCGCTGCGGCCGCGTTATATATGCCGCACAGCGGACCATAAGGGCCACTCACTGCGGCCGCGGCCGCTGCCGCCCTCAGGAACAGCTGGGACCTGGCTGCCAGAACAGCCCGTTCTTCGGCCGTCAGTTGGCTGAGTCCACCGCCTGGGTCCAGCAACGGCGTTCTTAGCATGTGGTGCTCGCTCAACATCGACTCCATCGTTTCCCTGCAACAGTGACAAAAGGGCGTCCCAAATTGTAAGTCGAGAAGAATCGAGATTTGGTGTGAGTGGTGGGTGGTGGGTGGATGGTTGTGGGTTGAGAGTGTTTAGAACTAATACACCCCTCTAGTTATTTATTTATGGCAAGTGAAAAATAAATGCTCATACACTATGTACCATTACACCCTTGCAGGCAGTGACGTCACGAACTTATATTTTTTAGGCAATTGCCCCCAACAATCTTAAGCAAGTGAATGTTTATTTTGTATTTAAAAAAAATACACATGCAGTTTTTAATAGTCTATGTGTGGGACGGTGGATAACTCAAATGTTCTTCAGAGGGTGTGAGTTTAAAGTAGACTGCTGGCGACGGCATTTTTAGAAGTGTTGTGTGAAACAGATATTTTGTTCGATGATATGTATATAATATTATAATAATATTATACCATTTATGCGAGTGCTTTGAAGTTAGTCAGTCGAGTTCTGTAAACCAAATTAGTCATTGGCGAGGCTGTGGTAATAGGAGATTTCGTGGGATTTCGAGGTTTATTTTAATAATGGACCTGCAACATTATTAATTGTCTTTTGATTCAAAGGAGACGACGATTACGGTCTTATGAGGTGAAAACTACTAAAGTTGCAAGGTCCTCTCTGACACGAAAAATATTTCATTTATTCGCGAGCCTTATCATTTGCACGGTCTCACAGTATCTTTCAAATGTTTATTCTATATTATAAAACCTTCAATCATTTAGTTAAATTATTTACCTTTCGAATTCGGTCAACCTCGACGAATCTCGGAAACCTTTTGCAAACGGATTGCTGTCGATTTTCAACTTGGTTATCTGTAAAACGATAAACATAAAACATTAACATATTGTAATAATAGAAGTTGGACAGTACTTTCCAGAACGGTTACAGAATTCAGTGGTACATCAATAGCATTTACGTGACAACAGGCAATAATATATATTCGAATCGTTAAAATAAAAAAAGCTTGGTACATTTTTTTTTGGTATCAATACTTCGTCATTAACTTACTATTATTATGGTATAAACCATTGATCATATTATTTATATTTACCATATCCTATTATATTAAAACATTTAAGTATGGATTATAAACGATTTACTGATAATGATACCGTCGCCATGATCATTATAACTGATGATATCCTATATGATTGTGTGAACATTATTTCTTGACAAACTTTGAAATATCTACGAGTACTAATTTTTTTTTTCAAAGTTCTACTTCATATATGACGGTATACTTCTATAGTACTATAATATGATTATTGTGGTATAAGTACATAAAATATGTTCCAGTGGTTATAACCGAAAGCAATTTGGAACCACTACCCTACCCTTATTAGAAAATCATGGGTTCTAATGTTAAAATATGCAGCGCACCTCCGTTGGGGCACATTTGAGGGGCCAAAGGGCGCCTATATATGTATAGGTAATTGACTCTATAACCAATGGCTCTTTTATTATTTGTTCGTCCTGCAACTTTTAGAATCCGTTTTAAAAATTTTATTGTATTGTCCTGTTAAGTACGCGCGATACACTGCGAATAGTGATTCAAATTTGGAGGAAAATTTAGTTCAGACCCCATAAAATAAATAATGACTTATAAAAATAAATAGATTCACAAATAACAATAAACAAAATGAATGATATGTCATCGTAATATTATAAAGCTACACCAAAACACTTAAGGTATTCTATTATTTTATCATTCAGATATTTCCATTATTTTTTTTCTAAAACAATTTTGGAGTGAATTAAAATATTAAATCATATACACTCTCAACTTCCTCTTATGTGCATATTATGTAACCCATATTTTTCTATGGCAGCTAGCTTTTTATAATAATCGCTTTCCCATACTTTGAAATTTGCATAGATTATTCGCTTTTTCAAGTATTTTTCCAGATAACATTTCATCTGGAAGAATACTTGAAGATTTAGGTCTCATCGAGACACTGCATTTTCGGTAACTACGGTGCTTACCAAATCACGGTATTCCGGTATGGACAACAAATGTTAAAAGTACCATGTACCACCGGTCTTTAAGATTATATACATTTTGTGACTGGTCGACGTATATGCGCAAATATACATAAATATTTATTATTATTATTATTATCGCGGACACTGTTGTCGTTGTGCCCTTAGACTTTTGACGTGTCAAAGACTTCGGACGTGTGGGCCGCGCACTGTGGGTAAATACCAGTGTACCACAGACCGTAATATATTATAGTCATGCGCGGGATGCCCCGGCAACTACAGGCGTCTAGCGACTGGTTGTACCCGTGTACCTGGTATTTACCACGCACCTAACAATATTATGTAATACATATATTATACGCTCGCCCGACGACTACCTGTCCCGCTTATTTGTAGTTGTCACCACGGGGAAGATGCGACGGGTAATGGATATCGATTTGTTTCGGTGAGGTCTCGAACAAACGGCCGTCACATGTACACATATGCTCATTGTTATTATAATAATAATATTATATATTATTATCGTGTACACATATAGGTAGAGATACCCGCGGTGTGTATTTATCACGGCGCGAAAAAAAAAATACCGACCCGAACGAGACTTTGACAAGTGGCTCGACCACCCCACCTCACCACCCCCCCCCCTAGACCGACTGTATTACAGACGAGGAGCGGTTAAAAAATAATGGCCGCGTGTACACGCGTGTACGCATATTATACTATATGTATATATACATACATACCGCGGTTACCGCAACTCGGGTGACGTATGAGCGTTTCCGACGAGGTGTCGGTGCCGCGCTCAGGGTGGCCTAATTATATATGCGACGTAGACCGACGACGACGTGAGAGCCGTGGCTGTGGGTGTGGCATTTCGACGGGCCGGTGGCGCGCGGCGGGGGAGGCTTCGCACTTCCGGTAACCGTATTACACATACCGCGCTAATGCTCGTGTGTATATAATATATATATATATATATAGGTACATAATAACACCGATATGATATATAATGGTGAGCGTGTGTGTGTGTGTGTGTGTGTGCGGCACGTCTCAGGGTCGTCACGTACGACGGTCATCAAACCGCTTTTTTACCGCCCCTCTCCCCACCCATTCGCCCACTCAACGGCCATCGTCTCTGCTGCAGCCGGTGGTCCCCGAGTATATTTTAATACTGTACGTGTAATATTTAATAATACATAGATAGGTCTTATATTTAAATGTATTATAAACAAAACAATATAGCTCGTCGTTATTAAAAAAAAAAAAAAATGGATCGCCCAATTACGGAAATTTCGGTTACGAAGGCCGCGAATAAGACGTGATGAAGATTTCGGATTTTACAACGTTATTCGTCATTATAATTAAATACCAATTCGAATATTATACTATTATCTTAGACGGATATTGTGGCGCGAAAATATGATGCACGAGTATCCGTTTGTCAGCGCGATTTTGTCAAGCAGAAAACGTCCAAAAATATGGAAAACTCAGAAACTATTTAACACACTCATCGTCTATTGCAATGCAGTATAATTCAATATACATTTACACACGAATAATACACATTATGCTCATTATCACTGTTAAAAACTGTTTCCTAAATTATGTGTGTGCAATAATGGAATACAATTTGTGGGTGAGTTTGTGCGTTTGACGCCTACTAAAATGTTAAGTGTGGATTGCGTTCTATTGAATTATTGTTGCTTAAATCGTCGACAATTCTTCATCGGCAAAGTGAACATGTCGTAGAGGAAAATATATTATGATATCCCTTTGACGGCATGCCGCACAATAAGTTTCTATTTGTGCCTACGCTGAAAATAAGACTCTCATCTTATTTGTCGGTCTAAAAATAAGACTGAAGATGGTTAAAATACTGAAATACGAAACTGAAATATAAAATATGTTCTAGACACCACTCAGTCCGTCTGCTGCGGGATGATGCGTGTGTTTTTCAAATATAACTACGACATTTGAACGAATTATGCTGTTCGAGTCTTCTTGATTTTTTTTTTTTGTTCGTAACAAAATTAAAAAAGAAAATTAGTACATTTTTTGCGATTATTTCGGGGTTTTTTTTTATTTACAATAACGAAGCAGCAACGGATCTCATTACCACGTGCACATATGCTCTTTTATCCATTTACACAGTTTCGAGTGGCTAGTAATAGGCATTGAGTATATTCAGGATACAGCTATAATGTCTGTGCGTACATTTTATATAATCATAACATTTCATATGATATAGCACAATGATGTAAAATGCATTTACTAATAAGATACTAGAAGCAGACATTAAGCAAAAACAAAAATGGTATTTAGATCTCATCGCCTGACATGCAAGTAAGAAGGAACAAATACTTTGTCTCGACGAATTTTAATTTTGCTTGAACATTTAAAAACAATTTTTACAACTAGGAATGGTTAAGGAATGAATGAATTTGTTTTATACACTACACACATATTTACTAAAAAACACCCATAAACGGTTTTAAAGTTTCATCAAAACGATATAATACATACATCAGAAACTATTTTAAAAACAATAGAATTTTTAACTACGCCAACACTGTTTTTCATTCCTAGCTCTCGAGCATGCGGAAAATGGGAAAAGAAATTCTGTTTAAATCATTTATAAATTGGTCCAAACAGGTTCGTAAGCTTTGCAGTAACAAATTATAAAAATATGGTCTAAACGGCATTTCCCCAAAAATATAACTCGTGCTAGGAAGAGAAACCTTCCAAGGTTCAAGACCATAGATAATAATATACTTAGTATAATATTATTTCTCCTCCAAAAAATACCGTGACTATAATACTATAGTGTTGATATAGCCATGGGATAACATATTAATTTTATAATTTATTAAAAACTCATGATATTATATAATTGGAGATTTCTTCGAGAAATATCACGTTATTAAAATGTTTTAATGACACTGCATGTAGCTTAGGTCAGGCGACACAGCTGTAGGTACCGACTGAATATTTTTCGGTGTTAGTTTATATTATTGTACAATGTACAATGAGAATTGTTTTTTTTTCCAAATCTTGTGGCAAAAATAAAGTTAACAACAATAACAGTATACACGTTTTCCCAAACAACCCGAGTGGGCTTCAGCCCCCCCCCCCAAAAGAACAACCACTAGTAACGCCTATGACAACGATGATAGACGTCGCTCGTGGCACGAAGCCGCAAGAGAGTCCGCGCGACCGTAATTTATAACCTATGGTGTATAGGTATAAACCAACGTACCTGTACGTAATATAGCAACACGTCTATGCACGCGCACGCCGAGCGGTATTATCGTGTCGGTACGAAAATTACAGGGCAAACGACCTATCGATAGGTCATTAATACTGTATTACAACAAATCGGAATTAAACGGCCGTATTGAATTCCTCACTCTCCCTCTCTCGGTGCGCGCGGTCTCTTTTCATTATTTTCGATATGCATATATATACATTTTTTTTTTTTTCATAATAATATCTTTTCATGTTTGCCGCCGCACACGTAAATTACAACGGTAATAATAATAATAATAATAATAATAATAATAATGTATTTTTTCATACAAATTATTATCTCTCTACATCTCGCGCGTTCGCGCTCGCCGTATACGTAAAAAGTGTGCAATAACATGGCGTGGCGGACGATATTATTACAATATAATAATATGAATAATGCGTTTCTTTTCGTTATCGATCGCAGTCCTCGTGCGACGGCAAAGATCGCGGCGGCCGACCGCGATTTATCGGCTTTTAATTATTACAATATAGATCCGACGGCGGTCCCGCACACCGACAAATCGGATTCGTCGCCGCGGTAGAC